CTTGTATGGACAGAAGAGTGGGCACACACACACACACACACACACACACACACACACACACACACACACACAGAGCTAACCCAGGCTGGCCTTGAACTTACCTCCACCACCCACAGCTGAGATCACAGGTGTCTGCCGTGGTACCCAGAAAACACAACACTTTTTTTGAACTTAAAAAAATGTCTGGATGTGTTGCCTGTGTGTATGTCTGTGTACCATTTTCATGCCAGGTGCCTGCAGTGGCCAGAAGAAGGTATTCTAATTGTCTGGAATTGGAGTTATGGGTGTTTGAGAGCCACCATGAGGGTGCTGGGGATCGAGCCTTTGCCCCAAGCACAACTATTTTGGAAAGTTGCTGCACACTATATAATCAAACCGAGCAAACACAAAATTCACACTACCCAAAATAGGCCAAAGATGAAAACAAGCACGTCCATCAGGCTGTGTTCAGTAAAATGGACAAACTATACACAGTCCATTCTTACTGACAGACTATTATGCATCAACCAACATAGACAGACTTACCGTTCTGGGTGCAGGTGACACAAGCAAGCCTGTGAAAACCAGTCTGGCGGAACTCAGGGTCTGCGCGCTTTTCCATACGTTTGTTACGGATTGTTCTTAAAGTCTGAAGACAAAGCAGGCAAGGTTTCCTCTGAGTCACTCCCGGGTAGGTCGGTCGGCTGGAGCACTCCCCACTTCCCTCTCCAGTTGGCACTCCTCGGGTTTCTAGATTACCTGCCACCCAGTGGACCCAACTGTTCCTACTCCAAGTGTCTCTTTGGTTCTTGGCACGTAGTCGTCCCTGGTAGACGCCCATTAAGAGACTGTGGCAGCAACTCCCAGTAGGTTCTTAACTCTAAATAAAGTGACATTCTTACAGAACACTGCCACTGAGTCAAGCCCAACAGCAGGGGCGTCAGGTTGTGACGAGAGCAGAGACTGCCAGGAGCTGGAGGGAGTCACCTGGCCCGGCCAGGCTGCTGAAGCCCAGCAGTACTAACAGCCCCGTGCGGGCTTCGGTGCCACAGGATGGTGGCAGCTTTCCGGGGAGTGCTGGACCGTGGGTTGGAAGGAAGGGGCGGGGCAGGGACGCGGGAGTCTCGGGAAAGAAAGGGCTGACTCCCAGGGCTGACTCCCAGGGCCCGCCCGCCCCCATCCCCGGCGCCCGCTCACCTGCCGGATCCCGCGCTGCGAGCTGCAGCCTAGGCCGGGAAGTGCCCGAGCCCCGGCTCCCGGAAGCTCCTCGGCCGCCGCCCTCAGGCCCGTGCCCGCCCGCCCGCCCGCCCGCCCACTCGCCCCTAGCGGGCGCTCGCCGGTCCGCGTCTTCCAGGCTTCCCGGCTGTCCGATCGCTAAACCTTCAGCTGAACCCTTACGCCAGAGCCCCCTAGAGCCGCCGTGAATCCCTGAGCCCCGCTTTGCCCCGTCTGAGGACAAGGGAACGAGGAGAAAATTCCTCCAGCAAGGGAGGCGCAGGAAAGTGAGGCATTTTCCTCGAAGGTCTCTCAAGGTAGGTTTAATGGTACAAAGTCGGGCCAGTCCCCGGGAGGTGGGTACCTTTATGGAAGGTGGGTCCCATTAATGTTGACGCCCACAGGCTGGTATCAGTCTTGCCAAAAGTGTTTATCCTCAAGGCAGGGATTTCCGGATGGGCATGCAACTGCAGTTAGGAGGGTACCAAAATAACTGCAATAAAGGATGGGTAGGCAAGAGGTTGACAAGTCCTGATGAAATACTTAAGTCCTTTGCCCCCAATTCCTAGAGTTCTTGCTGTGAGCTTTGTGAAGCTCCAAGGGAATAAATAATACAGCATTTCCCCCATAGAAGTGTTTCTAAAATGCCAACCTGAGGCCGGGCAGTGGTGGTGCACGCCTTCAATCCCAGCGCTGGGGAGGTAGAGACAGGCGGATCTCTTGAGTTCCAGGACCGCCAGGATTGTTACACAAAGAAACCCTGTCTCACCACCATTGCCCAACTTGAAACCCTGTCTCAAAAAACAAGCAACTTGAAAACAAAATGTTGGCAGGTGGGAGGAGTTTAATGGGCTGGTGTAAGTAAGGCCTTGTCTCCCCTCTAGTCTGGCTTCTTTTTCTTTCCAGACAATTGTAACACGACTAATAAAAGACCCAGAAACAGATACTGGGGTTCAAGCTTCAAGCTGAAGATCAGAAAAGCAAAGCAGCTGGTTACTAGCTCTTACCTCTACCTCAGATGGAAATGGAGGATCCTGTCTTCACGAATCCTCAGAGTACAATGCAGACTGCACTGCTCTCTAACAAGACTCAGACTACAGTCCTCTGAGTTCCTGTCTCCTCCAGCCTTCTATTTCTCTCTCTGCCCAGCCATATCACCCCTGTCTCCACCTCCCTCGTGCTAGGATTTAAGGCCTGTGATCCCAAGTGCTGAGATCATCTTTGTGTTTCTCTTTTAGACTGGATCAATTTTGTGTAGCTCAGTGTGGCCTTGAGCTAACAGAGATTGCTCTGCCTTTGTCTCCTGAGTTCTGGGATTAAAAGTGTTTACCAACACCGCCTGGCCTACATAACTAACTAGTGTGACTGCTGGGATTAAAGGTGTGTATCATCACTGCCTGGCTCTATGGCTGTGGCTAGCTTTGCATTTTGATCTCCAGTGGCTTAGAAATCATAAATAACGTATCATCACAGACAGCTTTTGGGAGTTGGTCCACTTCCACCTTGCTGAGGCAGGACCTCTTGTTTCTGTCATGTTACGTACTCTCGGCTGGCTGGCTCTTTAGCTTCCAGGCAATTCTCCTGTCTCCACTTCCCTGCTTGACAGACTGAGTCCTGGGATTACTGACATATGCAACTATACCATGCTTTTTTACTTGGGTTCTTGGGATTGAAATTAAGTTGTCTGGCCTGAACGGCATTTTGAACCAGTCTTTTAAATTCTGCCCTCCCCAGTCCTTCCCAGAAATACCATTGCCGTGCCCCTTCCTCTCATTGCAGCATAGGCTCCCTGGGGCCGGGGGAGGATCTTTGGGGTCCAGCAGGAATGCATGGATGGGCACTTAGAGTACAGTGCAAGCTCTGGGATGTCTGGATTTGGGGCAAAGATGAGGGCTTGGTCCAGCTCCTCACATAGTTTAAAGGGCAAGATAGATTTAATCACATGCCTATAAAGGTTTTCCATAGGACCAGATTAAAGTTCTGCAGGAGCAGAGGATTCCTTAGGCATTAATGATTATAGCACCTATTTTTTGACCCTTAGACTATGATTGCCATACTGAAATTACTACGGGGCACCTGAAGAGCTACCATCCAGGGCTAACTAATTCTCTGCACTGACTGGTCCTATTAGTGGCTACAGCCTGTCCACTATGTTTCTGAGCTGTCCCTTCTAACGTTTCAGCACTACCTGCTGATAGCTTTTCTTTTGCTTATTGTCTCATGCCTGGCTTTCCCTCAAGCCACGCAGACCTTATACTCCCAGCTGGCCCGTCTCTCCTGTGCCCTCTCCTATCTGATGTCTACCTCTGTCCTTTGCTTTTCATTCTCTCCAAAGGACTTTTGATGGAGCCATCTTCCCAGGAAGCTCTACTCGGGTTCACTCTCCTGCAACCATCTACACCTTAAGCTGCGCTCCCTCCTCACCACTGACCTGCTAGTGCTGAGCCCAGCTGGCATGTGGCATTTCATTCTGGTGCCTACTTCTTGTTTTTCATGACTCTACACTCCTGGGTTTTCTCCTGCCTCACGGGTCACTTCAGCATTCATCCGGTTTTCTCTAAATGCCACTAGGTCCCTCCAGCTTTTGTGCGTTGTCCCTAACTCTTGGCTCTCCTTGGATGATGCCCACCGCATCCAGTCACCCGTTACACCTCCCACGGGCCCTTTCCTTTCAGCATGCCCCACGCCAGGCCACTCATTTTGCTGTTCTTCCTGTGTCATTTCTGTAAGAAACATGGTACCCATTTGGCTGTTTGGCTAGAAAACTAGGAAATACTGACTCCATTTCATGTTGTCACTGTCACTACATTGCTCCATGTGTTTCCCATCATGACTGTTACCTGCTATATGGACTGCAACAGCCTCGGTCTAGAACCTGTTTCTGCCTTGCTATCTGAATCTGTTCTCTATAAGGGAACCACAGTAGCTTCCCCCAGACCCCCTCTTGTGTTGGCGCTGAGGGTCAAACCCAGGGCCATCCACATGCTAAGCCCTCTGCCACCAGGTTGCACCCTTAGCCAGAGGGAGAGTTTTTTGTTTGTTTGAGACAGGGTTTCTCTGTGTAGCCCTGGTTGTCCTAGAAGTAGCTCTGTAGACCAACCTGGCTGTCCTCAAACTCACAGAACTCCTTCCTTCTGCATCCTGAATGCTGGGATTAAAGGCGTGCACCACCACCACCACCACCACCACCACCACCACCACCACCACCACCACCACCACCCAGCTAGAGGGAGATTTTAAAAGGAAAATCTGATCATGTTCTTCCCTATTTAAAACTCTCCTGCTGGGCTTCTGCCAAGATGAAATCCAAGCTTCTTAGAGTGACTCTTTAGACCGTGGCTCTTCTTTCCCCCCGTGACCCAGCCAGAATGCCACTTTGAACTATGCTATAGACTGAATGCTGGTAGTCGGAAGCTGGGGCTTTGTAAGTTGACTAGATGAATGATCCCATTTCCCCCCTCTAGAACCACTGGTTCCTGTAGAACTCGGAGACAGGGGATACTGGCTTGCAAACAAGATGCCTCCCACAGGGGAGCTAAGAAACACTCTCAAGAGGATGAGGCTGTCTTGTTAATGGCATGATACTTCAAAAGCTGCTACCATAAGAAGGAAAAAGAACACAAGACCAGAGGGAAGAGGTTAATCACATATATTGATTGAAAAATAGGTTAACAAATGAGTCAATAAATTTGGGTCAGGCAATTCTAGAATGATGTGTGCCTGGGCTCTGATCAGAGTCAGAAAGGAGAAAGGAGGCCAGTCCTGGGCTCCATGGCCAGGATGCCAGCAGAACTGTTTTGGATGATGGCATCAGCCTGGGCTACAGTCAGTTCCAGGATCCCGTTTCATCGCTTTCCTTGGCCTGGGACTCTGTGCCTATGTTCATCCCATGTCCAGACACACTGGGGAGGAGTGGCCTGGCTTAGAGGATGGTGAGGGAAGGGATGCAGCCCTGACACAGTCCTGGGGAGACCAGGGCAGTGACCACAGCCAATGTGAGGGAAGGACAACTCCTCGGCTGGTGAGGCCCAGAAGAGTTTCCAGGCTCATAGGATTCTGTACTCCTGTAATTTCTCTTCTAAGTAAAAGCGGTTGAAGAAGAAGGGGCTCATGTCGATGGTCTTGAACTCGCCCTCTAGTACCATCTCTGCCACAGCTCGACCAATGCCAGGAGAATGCTGAAGTCCATGACCACTGAAGCCCGTAGCAAAGTACATGTTGACAACGAGTGGGTGGGGGCCCACCACGCCATTCTGGTCAAAAGTGTTGTAGTCATAATAGCCAGCCCAGGCACTCTTTACCTGCAGGTGCAAAAGATGCTGAGGTTTTTAGCAAAGCCACAGACATGTTCAACCCATACCCTTGCTCGGGGATTGGCTGCTAAGGAGTTCATGGGATGGGACAGATCCACAGACTCCTCAGTGATTGTTAGGTGGCAGGAACACAGCGTGTCAAAGGGACTAAGATACTGCAGTGTCATTCATATGTTTGATCCCAAACCCAGCAGGAACAATTATTCCCTGTTGGTTACCTTTAGAGTCTTAAAAGATGGCACCCTCTGAATCAAATGGGGCCACACTTTGTTCTGGAAGAAATCATGGTCCACTTCCAGATTTGTTGGGTCTGGTTCTTCCTCCTAAGTAAGAGGTAGAGATAAGACTTATATAATGCTTGCAATATGAGGGCAAACCCAGACCTGATTAATATAAATCAATCCCTTCCGTGGATTCCAGTTCTAACCTCAATGACAATATAGGGCCCCCAAAAGGCTTGCTTCTCTAATAGTATCTTGTCTATGTCTCCTTGCAACTTAATTTACCTCAGTGGGGCTGCAGCCACCTAGGTAGTTACTGCCCAATCCTTCCCGTCGAAAATAGACTCCATTGATATCTGCAACCAATGGTGTCTCCAGACCTGGTCCCTGGGGGCAGTGCCATAAGTGCACATACCTGTTAAGACATCAGAAGAATAACACCAACTCTCTGTCCAGACTACACACACAACATACATAAACCCATCCTAAACTTTTGTTATCATTTCTTTCTCATCTTTAGCTGCCCTGAGGGTAGGCTACCTTTTCCTTGGCTCCACAGGTAGCTTGGTGCCCTGCAGGGTGCCAGGCAATCCCTTCCCAATACCAGCCAGCTCTGCAACTTTCCCAGACCAGGCTCCTGCAGCATTGATCACTACAGAACACTCCACTGGCTGATACTCCAGGCTCTTGTTTATTTTCACCTATAAGCAACAGAAGATAAGAGGAAGGAGTGTGTGGGGTGTGTGTGTGTGGGGGAATGGGGCAGGGCATGCAGATAACACGACACAATGGACCTTGAGAGAGAGGTTTATTTCTTCCTGAGCCTAACTTTATCAGTACTGGGAAGCAGGCAGATTATCACTCTTCTTGCCCCTCTCCTATAGGAAGGAGCACACTAGACCTTGGCACTTACATGAACTTTGTGGATCCTTTTCAAGACTACCTGTTCCCCACTTGTGGTCTCCATTTGGCTAGATGAAGTGATGAAACCTGCAGGAAAGAAATAAAAAAATAAACCCTCGCCGGGCATTGGTGGCGCACGCCTTTAATCCCAGCACTTGGGAGGCAGAGGCAGGCGGATCTCTGTGAGTTCGAGGCCAGCCTGGTCTACAGAGCGAGTTCCAGAACAGCCTCCAAAGCCACAGAGAAAAACCAAAAAAAAAGCCCTTTAGCCGGGCGGTAGTGGTGTATGCCTTTAATCCCAGCACTTGGGAGGCAGAGACAGACAGATCTCTTCTGTGAATTCGAGGCCAGCTTGGTCTACACAGCGAAACCCTGTTTCAAAAAACTAAAAAAACAAAACAAACAAACAAAACGCCCTCTAGGTTAGTTTAGTGGTAGAACATATACTTAACATGTATGAGACCCTGGGTTTATCCCCAGTGCTCCCATCAACGCGCGCGCGCACACACACACACACACACACACACACACACACACACACACACACACACACACACAGAGTGGTGGTTTGAGGAGAATGGCCCCCAGTGCTCCCATCACACACACACACACACACACACACACACAGATGGTGTTTGAGGAGAATGGCTCCCATAGGCTCATACATTTGCCTGCCTAGTCCCCAGCTGATAAACCGTTTGGGAAGGATTAGGAGGCGTGTGCTTGTTGGAGGAGTGTGTCACCAGGGATAGACACTGAGGTTTCAAAAGCCCACACTAGGCCTAGTGTCTGTCTGCCTACTGCCTGTGGATCAGGATCTAGCTCTCAGCTACTTCTCCAGCATCATGCCTGCCTGCCTGTTCCCAGGCTTTCCACCATATTGATAATGAACTAACCCTCTGAAGCTGTAAGTAAGCCCTTAATTAAATTCTTTCTTTTAGTTGCCTTGGTCATGGTG